AATTGGCGCAAACGATCGAAGAACTGTCGAAACTACGAGCAATATTTCAATTAACAGTACTAATGAACTCGTAAGCAATCAAGAAACCATCGGTATCGAAATTCTATCCAATGAAAGTGAAATCTCAAATAATGTCAGTGGATTTGTTGAAAGCGATCAAGAAACCAGCACCGAAACTCTATGCAACGAAAATGATGACAACATTGAAGTACACGAAAGTGATCAAGAAATTCAAAATAACAGCACTAATGGATTCCCAAATCGAGAAGCTATTGTCATCGAAGCTCTAAACAATCAAAATGGAATTTCAAATAACAAACAAACCATTATCAAGAATATTAAAGATATCGAAGCTACAGAAGGTGTTAATATTACTAATGACCAAATCATCATCAAAGGAAAGTGCAAAATCTCTTTCAAATAAAACCTACAGTAGTATAAATTAGTTACGATATGTTTTATTAGCTAGTTCAGTAATTGTATAAACACATTATTTGTTTATATTAATTAGATTAGTTAAATTCGAACATTTTAAATTGATTAGTTGTCAGCTTAGTCAACTTTTCAATTAATCAATTTTCGATTCATATCACTAGTTAAGGTTACGTTATATATAAATCTAAGGTACAAAAGCGGTTCGAAGGCTGTAGTGATACAACAATCTCACAAAAAAAACTTTGGTTAATGCTTAGAAGATAGTTTTATGTGAGTTACAGATGTTTTTTGATTGTTTTTGAATTTTTTTTTTTTTCTTTTTTTTTTTCCGTTCTGCACCTGATCCTGAAATTTGATCAGTCGACGAAATTTTTAGAACATTAGGTTTATCATCAAGGCACAATTTGCATTTGAAAGTGCTGTCATCTCTTTCTTCGAAATAATGCAAGATATTACGTCTGTTTTCCAAAGAATCTGTCATATTGTGTGGTTGGAGATTGGTGATTGAAAATAGGATTGAAGTGCTTGCTTTAAATGATTTTTATGCTTGCTTGATTATCGAATTAACGCATATAAAATAAAATTAATGTGAGGTGAAAAAAAATATTTCAATTAACAAATTAATACGTATTATGTACCGTTTATCACTACTTATCGTTATATATAGCAATACGTAGTATCTTTATTATTAAGACCCTGGTATTATTCTTGAATAATGACTGGGTATATTTATATTAATTTGCTGTTTTATCTGTTTTATACAAATTGTATCCAAATATGCTGTAGAACCCACTTTTATACGTACAAAGTATACACGGGTATTATATAAATCAATTTAAATCATTGAAGTTTTGAATGAAACTATAGCAGTGCTTAACGTAATTATAAATATTCACAAGCTTGAATGGCTTACTTTGATTGACATCACTCAATTAAGCAATAGCGATAGTTAGTGATGTCCAAAAAATTTTCCCATTTCGTGTAACCCGAGCTTCCGGAATCCAATCCGACGATTCAGATTCGGACCTGCGAAGCACTAATACAAGTATAATACAAGCTAATATTATAGAAAAATTACGATTCGAACAACTTCACTAGTGCATTTATCATTTGGGCAGATTTGCTTAGTACGTGGGCTACTATTTCATTAGTAAAATTTTGGGTGATTTTGGGAGAAATTTATCAATTCCAGCCTATTCCTTCCCTAAATGTTGGTCGATCTGCAGAATTTTGGTTGATCCACTAATCTATTCGTTTTTGAATTCACCCGTTAAATTAATGTGAATTAAATTATAAGTATTTCTAGATCATTTCTTGCTTTTTCAAAACTTGCGTTAATAGATCTAATAAATTTCAGACACAATTTTCAATTCTCTTTATACAAGTCACTCTCGTTATAGTGAAGTCCTTAGGCTGTGAAAATTTCTTCACTATATCGAGATTCACTATATTGAGAACCTCTCGATATAGTGAAGTCGATAATAAATTGTATAAATCTTCACTATATCAAGAGAAATAATAAATTATACTCTCAAAAATCTAATTAACAAGTGTTACACGAAGTAATATAGTTGCGTATGACAACTATTCCGTTAATTTTATTGGCCAACAAATTCACATGATCAAATCTTTACTATAACGCGAGACATTTTGTTATATCCGTTTTAGAAAAAATCTTCATATATCTTATATCAAGAGTTTACTCATTAACTTCATTATTTCGAACGAGAGTTCACTATAATGAGAGTGGCTTGTATATGGTTATTATAACAATAAATCTCGCAGGACAAAAATAATATATAAAATTGTTTCTGTCTTTAAAACAAAGTCGGCATGGCGATAGGGCTGTTAAATATACCATCTATTTTTAGCACTTTATACAGTGCTGTAAGTGATGTGCGTATGTGCGTTCCGCACATGAAAAATTTTTTGTGCAAAAAAAAAAAATCTAGCTGTTAGTTGTTGCTATCGATGACAGTCACCGGATTACAATTGATCAACTGCTAAGGTTATGATAACAGGTTGGGTTAGCGCATATATTAAATTTTACGAGGATTTTTTTTCTTTGCTTAAAATACAATATGTATATAGTTTATATTCTTATTTTCATATTACACAAACATTATACTTGATCCCAATCTAAAGCTGGACCAATTTAATTTTTGTTAACATAATTCCCCTCTATTTCTTAAGATTTTATATAAAAAAATAAGTATTATATTAACCAATCAAATTGTAGTATTAACTTTATATTTTTTGTAGCCAATAAGACTAACTGTATTTTTTATTAATCTGCTCTTTTTAATGCCCTCTCGAGCTATTTTTGTATTACGTTAAACAGAAATTAATTTGGAGTGGTCTAATTGGTCAATTGCAAAACGAGATTCTACTCGAACAATCATATATTCTGATCAATAATCCAAGTGCAATTTTTTTCAACAACATAAAATCAACTATACAGTAATATAGAATCAAAGTAAAAAACATCGATTTTAGATGTGGTTACCACTATTTCCGAAGGCTTTTACATGCACGCGGTTGTTTATTTGATTTGCAATCTAAACAACCAATCAAAATTTATGACTCAACTGTAATACTGTATATAATTGTATTAATAATTTTTTTTGATTATTGTTATACAGCACCAGATCTTGCGTCCTTTGGAACAGTTATTAAAAAATAGATTAAAAGTTAATTTATATAAAATTTTTGTCTACAGACTAAGAAATAATATCTACATGTTTAGTTGTAGATTCAAATTAAACTAGAAACCTATTTTTCTAAAAATTTAATTTCATATTTACTTTAATCAATTATATATTCAATAACAAAATTGATTCTTAATTATATACTTAAAACATATTTAAATAGAGATAGTGTTTTTTTTTATAACATAGCATAACATTTTTATTTAATTTCCATTTCTTATTTACCTTATATATATATACGTATATATAGATTAAAAAAGTTTTTGAATGTTTCATTTGTTTTTTTCACGCCATTTAGTAGCAAAAAACCGTGTAGCAAAAAAGATTTCTACAATACGATCATTAACGCGATTACATTGAGTTAGACTTATTTATTACTTTTACTTTAATATAAAAAAATTAAAATGTTTAAATAAATTAACAAATACCTCAAGATCGCTATATTGTCATATTACTATATATTTCTTTTTCTCCGTAATAATCAATTATTCTGGTTATTATATATGTGATAAATATTGAACATATGATTATTGTAAACGAGGAATCGATATCAATATCAACGATAATATTGACTCATTTTCTCTGTAAGAATTAATTATTCTGAAAATAATTAATTATTTTGATTATTAAATATGTGATAAATATTGAACATATAATTATTGTAAACGAGGAATCGATATTGATATCAATAATGATATTAAATTTACTCATTTTTTAAAACAAACCTACTTTGATCGATCTCTTTAAATAATTGCCATACGGAATTTTTTGATCACAAAAAAAAACCAGTTGTACGTATAACATTTTTAATGCATATATTTTAAATTTAAAAAGAAATAAAAAAAAAGAAATATAATATATGCCGTAAGGTTGTGTTGCACCGATTAAAAGCAGTACTATACCTACAAGATATTATGATTGGAGGATTTCTACTTGTTTTCATATAAATCACCGGATAAGGTTCAGCATGTGTAACATTTGAATTTATATTAAGTTGTTTATTTGTTCGCATCATCCATAATTTACGTAAATATAATAGATACCATATATGGGTCTTTTGCTAACAAAATGACCCTCCGAGCTATTGTTACACAAGATTTTAATTAGTAAAATCATAACAAATCTATTTTTAGTAAAAAAAAATCATAGCAAAGGCCCCATATGGTATAATAGAATATCGTGAAATAAAAGTTATACGTACATATGTACGTACGTACTAGCCTTTTAAGAATAAGTAGTACGGTAAATTAGGACGGGCATGTAAAGATAGTACGTACGTACGTACGTACGTCTTGTAAAAGAAAACAATTCAAATTACTTTTCTTACTAACCCAAATATGAACCCTAACCCTAACCTTAAAATTTTTAAGTCTATATTAATCGTACGTACTATCAAGGCTTATTATAATTTTCACATGTCCGCCCGAATCTGTACTTATTTTACTGAATACCTTTAAGAATAGATTATTGCGCATGTCTTTTACGTAGAAAAAATAAATCAACAAGGTACGTACAATATACAGTATATATGCGGTAAATTAATAAGTATACAGATCAATTAAGCTTTTGTCATTTCAAAAAAAAATTAAATCGAACTATGATAATTCCAGAACACCACGCTATTCCGAATTAGAAGATGAAGCATGAACAGATGAACTCATAAGAACATGTGAATCTTGGAGGAGGATATAAAAAAACCTTAGCGGATGCAAGAATACCACACTGGCTTCTTTTAGTTCTGAAAGTAACATTAGTTAATGCATTTTGCAAGAATAACCATGCAAACTTCTTTAGATCTAGTTAGAAAATGTATTTTTAGAACACATGCTGACTCTTTGATTATCTGAAACAGTATTTTTAATTAAATTGGCCAGTAATTAGAAACTTTTAGTTCAATTAAGAACACTGACTTAGAGCATAATAGAAGACATTCTAAAGTAAATGAATAGTTTATATTTGCTGTTCACACTTGTTTTTAGGCTAGTTGGCCACCAATTTAGCTAATAATCTATAATGTATTTATTTTAGCTACCAGTAATAACCTTGTTCAGATCATGCTGATTTCTTTGGATACTTTGATGATAATCTTGAATCAAAGAAAAGAAAAGCATTAGTGGATGCATTTTGTAAGAATACCATGCTAAATTTTTTAGATGTTTTGATGATAATCATTGGATGAGAAGGAGGAAAGCATTAGCAGATGCACTATATTAAAATTTTTAGGATCTTTTGAAGAATATTTGATCAAAAGAAAGCAGATATACTTTGCAAAAACATCATG